TGAAAAACGAAAAAGAAATTTAAGTTTTAAATCTATGAAAACTCCTAGATCCTTTGAGATTCATTGAACATTTCAATGGCATGTTTAAATCTCGATATGCCCCTCTTGTTTGTGACTGGGATGCCGAGGATCACAAAGCGGGTGTGAATAACCATGCAAACTACATGGTGCCCTCACATGTTACAATCACCTATTCGATGTGCCGGTAAACCACACACGCTCCACCGAACTATGACAAACATTGAGTCACCCTTTGCTACCTTTGCTTAGAACCATTTAGTGTGCCGGTAAACCACACACGCTCCACTAACGTCTTCGCAAGGGCACAAAGTGTAATTTCATGGAATTGCATCAATTCACTTTTGCCTAAGTAACTAAGATTGGGAATTTGAAAAACATTTAGTTACTTTGTATTTCATTATACTTATAATGGAAGGTTTCGTCCTATCCTACCCGTTCGGCTAACGACCCTCCACTAGTCAAGAGTGCGGTGGGTAAGAGTGGATACCCATTCAATCGCCATTTTATAGGCAATTTCCTTAAACACCCCTTATAGACCAGCTTCGTGAATGAGGCCTACTAACGGTAAGACTGACTTTTACTCATACATATATATAATGTTAGACTTTTAATGTTATATATAGTATAGGGTGTATTTTATACTTTTAAAATACTATATGGTTAACTTTAACAATTACACTTTTAATTCAATTAAATGGTTAACCTAAACTTTTATGGATTTATTAAACCTCTTTTAATTATACTCCTTAATTAATTAATAAAACCATAAGGGTGTGATTTGAACTTTTCAAAACATTACTAGGGTTTTAGAATTTAACATTCTAATTAAATTTTAATCAACTTTTAAATTCCAAAACTTGAGGGCAAGTTTTGAAACCTTTTTCAAAACATTAGGGTTTTAACTATTTAAATTTCAAAACAAAACTTTTGGGTTCAAATTTAAACTATAAAACCTAAAGGGAAAATATGAAACTTTTCATAACAACAAGGATCAAATAACAAATAATTTTAAATTAACATTTAATCACATAATTATCCATATTTGATTTATTTAATGATTTCTTGCAAAACAATTTATCAATTTACTCAAAATAATTAATCAATTATTTATAAGGAAACAATTATCTTGTTAATTGATAATTATCTTTAATTAGATCAAGAATATAGTCATATATATCATAAAATCGGATTTATATTGATCTAACATGATAAGGTAACTATCCATATGCAAAAACAGCAAGAAATCCCGAGATAAGCATTATCTGACGAGTTGACTCGTCGAGTCAGGCATGGACTCGTCGAGTCTGCATGGACTCGGTGAGTTCAGCCATGGACTCGGCCAGTCCAGCCTCCACAATCCAAAAAATCGAATTTTCTAGTTATGCAATGCATCAATACAATTGAAACCAATCTAGGCTCTGATACCACTGATGGGTTTTGGTCATAAGACATCCTATGTGCTCATACAAACCCTAATGCTTGGATCTAGGTTTCTCTATTGTACATGCTTTGAATCCAAGACTATAAACCCTAATTCTAGCATTCAAGTAATCATATTAATATGTAATTAGGTTTAAGATCATACCTTGATTGTTATGTAGCAATAACAATCTCAAATCTCCTTGTAATGACTTTGGAAGGCTTAGAGTCACAAGTGTCACTCCTCTAATGGTTCACAAACACCATAAGCAAGAGGATGAAGAGGAGAGAGGTTGGAGGCTGCCAAAAACGTGTAGAAACCCTAGCAAGATCATTAGCCACGTTTTTTAGCCTTAAGGGGTCTTTATATAGTTGGGCTACTAGGGTTATCTAACAAGGAAACCCTAATTTGGATGCTTAAGCCCTAAGCAACCCATAGACTCCTTTTATCAAGCCCATGGACAATTTCCTTATGGGTTTCCCATTAGAATTCGTCCATCCCTTAATATAAGGCAATCCATGGCCCAAATTATAATTATCTTATAATTACAATTCCAGTTCCTTAAGTTTAATTAATCTCTTTTAGTCACAAAACTAATTACCAATTAATTATTGACTAATATTAATTAAACAATATGGGTTTCTCCTTTAATATATTATTCCCATAATATATTAATAAATCATATTTAATCCTCACTCTCCATAAATCATCCTATCAAGTTGCTTTGGTGAAGGCAACCCAAAAGGACCATGCACCATCGGGTCAAGTACATACCAAAATAGTTATGGACTTAGACACTAATCCAACAGTTCCTTGTTTGGTTGTGGTTTTACATTAGGATCACCTGTCTAGGTGACTATCTCACCTCTGAGTATATACGGTTATGCATTCCTTGGATTGTTGATATTTAGTATGCTATTATGCTGTAGTGATCTATTAGATTCGTGTTCTGGTATTGAGTATGTTGTTATGTTGTAGTGATTTGCGAGATCTGTGTTCTGGTATTGAGTATGTTGATATGATGTAGTGATCAATTAGATCTATCTCCTGGTATGGAGTTGGTTGTTGTGTGGTAATGACATGTAGAACTTTATGTTATATGTGCTTCCTAGTTATCATCTATGGACTGCCCTTAGGGACTATCGGTAGTTAATTAGGATAGCCTGAGAACTCTTGGTTTAGGCTCTCTTGCCTGTTCCTTCTTTGTTTGTGGCTCTAGAGGACTATCTATTCGGATGGCTATCTCACCTCTAGTTAGTTATAGTTACGCATTTTATGGGGTTAGTTGGTAGTGGGACTGTATGTGATGAGGGATTAGTAGGCATTAACGAGTTGCATAATTGTTGTCGCTTGTATTATGTGCCTATTTGACCATGATTGTTTATATCGACAGATTGTGTTTGGTTTGGTTGAGGCGGTCCTGCTGTGTGCTGAAGGCCAACAGTCCCAGGGTGGAATAGATAGATTTCGGAGCCATTAGGGTATATCAGTTAGGCCGAAGCCCTGGAGAACAGTCCAGACAGACTAAATGCCCAGGAGGACGGACCAGACATGTTGAAGGTTCTGAGAGTGGACCAAATAGACTGCAGGCCCAATGAGGGCGGTTCAATCATACTATAGACTCTATATGCATGGTGTTTGTTTGCTAGTATATGTTATATGTTGTGTGGTGGTATTCTGGCGGAAACTCAGTAAGCTTTGTGCTTACAGTTTTGTTTATGGTTTCAGGTTCTTCATATGATCAAAGTGGCAAGGCGAAGGCGTGACCATACACATCCTTGGTTTTACAAAAAATTGGATATTGGAGAAACTCTGGTTTTCAAATAATGTTTGAGAACACTATTTTTGTAAACATTTTATTAGTCATGATCATTTTAAAAAGTTTAAATTTGTTGAAATTTTCGGGGCGTTACAAACATCATCAAGTAAGAAGAGGGTTTACTCTAGTCGATGCCCCACGTCCCCAAAGACCGCCTATTTCTCACCATCATCATCCTAACTGTGCGATATGGAGGACTGAAAACGAAGCACGTATCAGGTGGAAACAATTTCATCAAAGGGTAGCTGGAGGCAGAGGTCGGTGTAGAGGTAGCAGTCGACATAATTTCATCAGCCATCGAAAATACCTCGCGGCTTAGTCGAAAACCATATGCACAACGAAAACCCTAGATGTTGTTTGAATTCAAACATATCTTGTTCTTGATGGAAATCGAGTGTATGTTATCGAAAACCTTATGATTCTACAGAAACCCTAGCCAGAAATGGAGCGGCAGTGGCCGGTGCTTTTCGATAGACCAACGATTTCTAATGGTGCTATTTGGTGGTAGGGATGACCAACGAGTCTATGTTTGTTATACTATTCGATCAGTATCAACTTAAAAGGGTAGATGGGGTATGGAAAATGAAGGTGGAGGGATGGTCATTTTAATTGTGTATTTATTTATTTATTTTTTCTAACTGAAAATGATAATAAAACATTAAAAAATTGAAAAATAAGAACATAACAGTTTTATTGTCATTTCAATTATGACAAGGACTAAGTTTGCAAAAAAAAAAAATCATATTTCAGCGATTAAACTTGCAAAATTAATCGAGACGGTGCAAATTAATTTTTGAAAATAAAAACTAAATCTGCTTTTTGGCAGAGGGACTAATGATGTAATTTACCCTCTTATATATATGTTTGTAGTTGGGTATATTTTGAATTAAAATTTATTAAAATCTTTATAGGATTCCATCGATCCAAAAATATGTCTAATTAAGGAAATTGGATTTTAAATTCTTTACGTGATAAAAGGTTTCGTGAAAACGTTCGTCAAAGAAAGTTCTTAAAATAACATATTTATGATACAATTGTTTTATTTTTTTAATCAAACGGGGGATTTTATTAGATATCAATTCCAAATACTTTCAAATCCCCCGAATTGTCTATAACCAAACGGATAAATTTCTTGTTGAGTACTCTTTCTTATTTTATAAATTGTGATGAACGGTTACAAAATATACAAGTTTTAGGAAACACAGAGAGGAAACAAAAAGAATCCTAATCTTACCTAAATACTAATACTCCTAAATAGCTTATATATATATATATATTTGATCATCTTAATATTGCACAAAAGTCATAAACCAAAATCGGAGAGGAAACACACAGAAAAAATCAAGTGTCAGTATTACCAATAAGAGGTTATATTTCTGACGTCAAATATTCGAATGTTTATGTTTCTTTAAGTATTTTGAATGTAGAATAAACGGCTGCGACGAAAATCCATACCCAAAGTAAACATAAAATATTTTTATGAATAATATATTGAAGAGCAAAATATCTATATACGATTAGTTATATAACGTAACAGGAGTAAGTTTTTAATACAACAATACATACTTCGTTAATTTGCAAAGTATATCATGTGTACGTTTGATTGTACGTTGTATTATGTTGACTCTTAACTAATTTATATAATCTGCAGATATTTAGTATACTATATATTAATTTGTTATACAGCAGTTTTGAAAGTAAACTAACTATAATCTATTGGAGTCAAGTTTAATACAGAAAATGGGCTTGAAAGCTACAACACTCGTTCAAGGATCTTGTTTGGTGCCTCAAAAGAGAAGGTGGATGATGCCGGGTTGTTATTACATTGGTGATCGCATATTAGCAATGTCCTTTCCCATGGAGCGAAAGAAAACCGTAAATCAGGTCAAGGAGGCTTTGGAACATAGACATCATGGACACTATAAGGTAATTTAGTCGACTAAATTTATAGGGGTCTAGTTGAATGATAACAATTGAAAATAAATAAATAAATAAAGTAATGGAATAAGTAATTATATTGATTATCATGCTTGGATTATTTTTTTTATATCGTATGTAAGTCCAATTAAGGTATATGTAAACATTATTCAATGTAGTATTTAATGATATTTGAAAAATTATTATCTAATTACTAAACTAATTAAAATTAGAAATAATAGAAGTCCATCAAAGTCCAAAAATATAATAAAGAAAGTATTTTATAATTATTTAAAAAATTATAATTATAACTTGATTAAAACCATGAGATTCTTAAAAAGCCAAAACTATTTACCAAATTTAACAGTGAATTTCTCATGTATAAAATGGTAAACTTTTGGTAATAACCAAAACTTAGTTGCATAAATTGGTAAGTTTTCTCATATTTTTCTACTTTTGTAGGTGTACAACTTATGTGTCGAGCAAGATTATGATCCATCCCCTTTTAGCGGTCTTGTGGAAAGATTCTCATTCGATGATATTCACGTCCCATCGCTCCCAATGATCAAGGAATTCTGTGAAAGTGTTGATTCATGGCTTTCAAGCAACCAAAAAAATATTGTAGTTGTTCACTGCATGGTAAAGCTTTTAGTCCGTAATTTCTTGCACACTTTTGGTTTATGTTAAATATATTCATGTTGATCATAGTTTGTTTCTGAAATTCAATAGGCAGGTAAATATCAAACTGGTTTGATGCTATCTTCTTATTTGGTCTACAATGGCATGTTAGCAGATGAAGCTCTTCAGATTTATGTAGATAAAACGACCAAAAGTAATATTGGAGTAAGTTTGTCTTTTTATTCCACTTAAGTTCTTGAAATATCTTGTACAATAAAGTGTAAAGAAATTAAATATGGATATGGTGACATGGCAGGTGACAATACCAAGCCAACGGCGTTACATTAACTACTGGCAGAAATCTCTTTCTTTCACTGGCGGCTGTCCACCGAAGGTCAATCTTCCGAAACCATGTACGAGAGAAATCCAGCGGATCCGACTTTATGACACCAAAAACATAGAAACGGTCTTCTTTGTTGTGTCGGAAATGCAAGAGGTTACTGGACAGAGGTATCATCCATCGGAAGAAACTTGCAGGGATTTTTGCAAAGAAAGTAAGAATGGTGTTTTTGAGAACAATCATCGACACTCTTACCCGTTCATTGAGGAAGAAGAAGATGGACATAACCTCCTCGACTGCTACTTTATCAAAACAGTACAGGTGACTGGAGATGTGTGTGTGACGTTTTTCGAGAAAAGCTTTGGAGGTCGTCTCTTCTATGCTTGCTTCAATACTGCTTTCATCGAACACGACTCCATACAGGTACTTTAACCGATCTTTGTTAGGTTAGAATGTTAGATATAAATCTATAATGAGTTTCTAATGTTAGGGTTTTGAATTTCTTTTCAGTTTTCGATGTCGGAATTAGATAAAGTTGAAAATAAAGGCAAATCGGTAGCAGGTCCGGAATTCTATGTGGAGTTGCTGTTTGCTCCAGAGAAAACTAACGAAGATGTGGCCGTTTAAGTTTGACAATTCGATGAAACATGTGTAAATGAAAGGATTAAATCTTTTAGAGTAAATTACAAAATTTACTATGTGTTGCCTATATATATTTTAATGCATTTGGTTCACTTTTTTCGTTTTAACTTCTTTTATTGTTTATATTCACGTAAAATTACAAACATATCGATATCTTCATGATTTTCTATTCCTATTCCCTTTATCTTTATGTTCAATATATCCTAAAGGCTAAAATCAAATTCTAAAAAGTAAAACAAAGGAACGAAATTGTTCACTCTATATAAAGTAAATGGGGCTTTGGTAAGATCCCAATGTAGTTAGAGTAAGCTAATATACAGAGGAAAATTCTAGTTAAACACATCAAGCATCAATATACCAAATTTGAAAACGAAATTTTAGCATTTTGAATTGATATTGAATCATACATTTAACATACATAGCACAAGAATCAAAAGGCAATTGATTATCAAAACAAGGGGGGAGAATATCCATCAAAACTTTTAGACAAAAAAACTTTTTGATCATTCCGCAAAAGAAAAGTTGCACATATCAAAGATTTAATAATATCATACTATAATGCACATATGAAAAATTCAAGATCCATAAAATTGATTATGGTGAAATGTAATTGTGGTGTTGTAGGTATTATACGAAATTTAAGGACTAAGAGAAACCCTAGTAGGACTTTTTATGCATGTCCTTAACAATCATTGAGTTATATATATATATATATATATATATATATATATATATATATATATATATATATATGTAATTTTCTATTTAAACCCTAGATTTTGCTAATCAAGGCTATTGAAAACTTCAAGGACTAAGGAGCCGCTTTATTTCATGGGTAGATGAGCAAAATCATGAGCATTAAGTTGAACTCCAAAATCGTGAGCTTGAATCCAAATTAAAGAAATAGAAATCTAATTTCGGAACCTGAAATTATTGTTAGTATATAGTTGGGTTTTGTTTTTTGGGATAATCGTTTACAACTTGTAATATTAGGTATACCAGTAGACTTTTTTTGTTAAAGATCACCTAATGTAGTTGCACATGGGATATTTTGGTACAATTAATAGCTGCAAGGACCAAGGTCGATTGTTATGGAGCAATGAAAAGGGTATTTTGTGTTTTACAATGGTTGACTGATAATTAATGTTTGTCAAAGTTTACTTAAGATCAAAATTGAAACCATAACAATTTAAGAGTTTATAACATAAAAACAAAAGCATTATATAAGAGATTTACATAACATTGACAAAATAACGTCACATAAGAATATAACCAATATACCAGTTTAACCAACTATAATTATTGTAGTGATACTAAACATAAAACATTTCATAGCAATATAACTCAAAAAACGTAACCCACAACAGTTTAACCAAGATAAAGACATCATATATCATAAGAGCTTACAATGCAACTGTAACGCCCTGTTCTAGATTATTCAATTATGGAATCTAAGAGGCCAAGACTAGGGGTGTTTTAGTCTTTTATGAATCTTTGAAGATATTGACATAAATGGACCCTAAAGGAAATATTTGGCAAAGAGGTCCTAGGCATGCACAGAATGCATGCGTGTAAGTAGCCGGGTACGCTAACGTAGATAGGATAAGTGATCGCGAGTGTTGGGGGCATACGCCCGGCGTACAGGATGTACGCCCAACGTACATCCAGTGTCCAGAAACCCTATTTTTAGGGTGTGCCACTATATAAGGAACATTATGACCCAAGCCTCAGCCTCCAATTCACCCCTGGACAACTCCCACAAAAACCCTAATCCTCTTGAGTGTTCTTGAAGCTTGTAAGGTCATTTTGAGTGCATCTTAGAGTTCTTGGAGTGGACGGATCATCTTGAAGTTTCATAGATCGAGGAGGAGCTTTTGGATCCATGTTCTCTAGCCTATTTGCAAGCCCCAAAAGGTATAAAGCCTCTAACTTTCCTCATAGAAGCTTAGATCTAGATGTAGGAAGTTTTGGGATCTTTCTAGGCCCAAAGATTGGACCTTTATGGTGTAACTTCGTTTCCAAGCTTGGGATTGCCACCCTTAGAACTAAAAATGTCCCATGAGCAGCAAAGTCTCGATTTTAATGGTCCTTATGAGCTATTTCATGAGATCTAAACTTTGTTATGAAAGTTTGTTGCCACCTTTTGAGTTTAGGTTTGTTTGGTGGATTGCAAGTCACCAAGTTAGTGACTTTATGGATTAAGACGTGGAAATGGACCAAGATCTATGATTATAGCTTCTGAAATGGAGTATTAAGCACTTAATGGAAAAGTGTCTTAATAGGAGGATTAAGCTGAGCGTACGTGCATGTACGCCCAGTGTACTCACTAGCAGGCCAGTATGCTTAGCGTACATTGGAGTATGCCCAGCGTACTCAACAGAGTTGGAGTTTGAGTAATTGGGCCTCAGTGTGGGTTGTATCTTGGACTTTGAGCTTTAGTGGGTCAGAAGGAGTCAATGGATATGGGCCATGTATAGTATTGGACTTAGGGTAAGGCCCAATAAAAAGGAATTAGGCCTAATGTAGCAAATTAGGCCACTAGTGGTCCTTTAATGGTGATGAGTTTTAGTCATAAGAACATCCTATGTGCTCATACGAACTCTAATGCTTGGATCTAGGTTTCTCTATTGTACATGCAATTTATCCAAGACTATAAACCCTAGATCTAGTATATGATAATCAATATTAACATATTAATGGGTTTAAGATATTACCTTGATTGTTATGTAGCAATAACAATCACAATTCCTCCTTGTAATGACTTTAGAAGCTTAGAGTCACAAATGTCACTCCTCTAATGGTTCACAAACACCAACAGCAAGAGGATGAATAAGAGAAGAGAAGGAGGCTGCCCAAAATCGTCCAAAACCCTAGAGAAAAAGTTCACCACGTTTTTGGGGCTTAAGGGTGCTATTTATACATGTAGGCTATTAGGGTTTTAAACTAGGAAACCCTAATCTGACTGCTTAAGCCCTAAGCAGCCCATGGATTCCTTTCTTAAAGGCTTTGGACAATTTCTAATGGGTTTCCCCATAGAATTCGTCCAACCTTATAATATAAGGCAATCCATAGCCCAATTGCAATTATCTTATAATTACAATTCTAGTCCCTTAAGTTTAATTAATCTCTTTTAGCCACAAAATTAATTATCTATTAATTCTTGACTAATATTAATTAAACAATATGATTTCTCCTTTAATATATTACTCCCATAATATATTAGTAAATCATATTTAATCCTTTCTCTCCATAATTCATCCTATCAAGTTGCTTTGGTGAAAGCAACCCAAAAGGACCATGCACCATCGGGTCAAGTACATACCAAAATAGTTATAGACTTAGACACTAATCCAACAAATGGGCCATTGATGGTCTTAGAAAGAATTAGAGGGTTTGGGCCATGTTTATGACCAACACCATAGCAAGGGTAAAATAGTCATTTTGCCCATAGAAGGATCTTTATTCTGATTTACTGTCTTAATTGATCATGATAGCCGGGGAGCAGCTGGAACAACAGTTAGGGATCTTTCACTCAGGCTTTCAGCAGTCAATTCTTCGAGGTCAGTTTTCCTTCCAGTAGGAATGGGTCTACGGCCGCAATGCCGACCCGTTTAGTTAGTAGTAGTTTCCGGACTTCGGTCCGATATAGTAGTGGTATGTTTGATGTCTTCATGACTCAGGCAGGATTATGTGTTATGTTTTCCGGACTATGGACCGATGCAGTATGTAGTATATGTATTTATGTTTTATGTTGTGTTTATGCTATGCCATGTTCAGTCAGTTCTGGACTTCAGTCCGATGCAGTTTCCGAACATCGGTCTGATGCAAAGGGCAAGGCCCTAGTAGTTCCGGACATCGGTTCGATGCAATTTTTGGACTTCGGTCCGATACAGTGGGCAAGGCCGAATATATGCTTATACTTTAGTGTACGGTATGTGGTAGTTTGGGGGAGCTCACTAAGCCCCTTGCTTACAATTTTAGTTTTGGTTTCAGGTACTTAGTTTTCAAAAGAGGAGCCCGGGAAGATTGTAGTGCACACACCATCTGTTCAACCTAAGATGTTTATGCTCTGATATATTTTAACAACTGTTATGACATATTGAGAAACACTGGTTATGATTTTTTTATATGATGTTTGATGACTATGGTTTTATTATTAAATTAAAAAAAAATTGATTGTATTTTTAGGATGTTACAAGTTGGTATCAAAGCCTTGGTTTGAGGGATTCAGGCACACTTTCGGGTGTGTCTGAACTCAAACTAAGGAATTGGTATAGAAATTTTCAAAAGGAAAATCTTTTTTTTGTGAAGAGGAGTTTGAGAAAAGAAAAGGGTTTAGAAAAAGCGAAAAGAATTTTTAGAAAGAAAAGAACTTTGAAAAGAGAAAAGGGTGTGGTGCATGTAATCAGCTGAGCTCAAGTATGTACTCCCAAGTTACCCATGCAAGTTTATTTTTGATTATCAGTTTCAGTTTTAGTAGAACAACATGCTAGAATAAGACTAAGGATCTAGTAGGATGCCTTATATGCCCGTTATATGTGTTCTAGCTTTATGAGAATTGCATGCTAGTATTGAGTAGACGGTAGTAGAATATCATGTTTAGGTTATGCCTGATAGTATGAGCTCAACATTTTATGCTAGCACATTTTCTCCTTATGAAGATAGATTTGATTGAGTAGTTTCTTGTGTCCGAATGTTGCTTGCTTTGTGCCTTGTCGGTCTCTGAGTAATAGGAGTTAGCCATTAGGTGAATACGTCACGTCACATGTGATCATGGTTGAATAATCTCAGAGTGTTGGGTTTGGCCCTATTGCATAGCTCTCGTTTGAGTCTAACCATTGTAGGGACGATTCTTTTACTCGAAGGATTATATGAGCCTCGCCACATGTGATGGTATTCAGGTGATGGCTAATTTGAATTACAAGGAGGCCTTCAGCAGCTGAGGACTGGTTTGGGTGGAGTCAGCGATTACCCTAGGGCAAGCC